TTGGAAACATGAGATACTTCAATTTTTTCCATTTAAGTTCCTTCTATGTTCAAAGTAGTAGAAAAATGGGAGAACTCTTTCCTTTCAGGTGATATTTTCTTCATCCTGTTTCAAGTCCATTGCATAACTTTACGTATTTATATTGCTTTGCTTTTGTATCGACAATTACGAATTGTCATTATATGTGTTCTTAATTTTGATTGTTAGAAATGCATGACTAAGACGCTATAGCCATTCAAATTTGGTTTGATTCTGTATGGACTCTAATATGTGAATCTACTGTGGTTTTTCGGGGACATGCTGTGTTTTTGTGTGTGAGGTGGACCCAATTTGATAAATCAAGTTCCATGGCAAGAGCAACCACAAAGTTTCTTGTGTGAATGATTCTAGTTTCCATAGGCATATTTACCTCAATTATGATGTTAAAACATTAAACTTACATATTTGATTAAGAGGAATTTACTGTACTTTAAAAAATCAAAATTGGTTTATTCCACCTCTTCTTTTCTTGCTTGAAGTTTACTCAATGTGCTTGACTGGCTTTAGACTTTTCCAAACTGCTCTCTCTCTCTCTCTCTCTCTCTCACACACACACACACACACACACACACACACACACAGATGCATTCCTGTCCTGGTTTAGAATCTTATCTGCTTGCCTGCTATTTGGCCGGGAACACAATTAGCTTTTAACACTCTGGTTCAGTAGAGTATGGAACAAGAAAATGACAAAAATGAAGCTGGCAATGCTGTAGAAGACTCAGCAAAATCACAATCATCCCAAATTTATTGAGGGCCAAATCTGATATTGCAAAGTCAATAGCCAAGAATTTCTTGAAGGCAAGAAAAGCTACTGGTACTCTTGAGGTTCGGAGGAGAAAGCAAAAGAGTAAAAAGAAGAGTGTATCAGAAGGCGGTACAGCTACCGAAAATGATGCTGAGAAGCTAAATTCAAGGGAAAAAACCAACAAAAGGATGCTACCACCAGTAAAGAGCATGTAGAGAAGAGTCAGCAGATCCAAAAGAACGAAGAAAATACATGTGCGTCAGGTAGCAAGGAAAATAGTAAGTCAAATCACAATCCCAAGAAACGAAGAAGGGGAAAGGAGCCTGTTCTTTCAAATAAAAACCAGAAGAATGAAGAAAAGTGGGAAGATAAGAAAAAGAAAAACAAAATGAGCAGAAGGAAAAGCACAATAATTCAGAGAAGAATAACAAGAATAAAGAAAAATGTGATGGTAAGGGAAAGAAACAAGAAAATAAAAAGAAAGAAAAGATTGATGGTATATCATTTTTTTTCTTTTTCTAACATGTTCCAACTATTAAGTAGAATTTATGCTTGTTATGTGTGTGCTGTTTTTTGGTTCGTTGTTTTTTTTTTATCCTTATAAATTTTAACTTGATTTCTTGTTAATATGGTTGATTGTAATGTTGTTGTTAAGTGTCCTTTTTTACCGTGAAATTTTATCCCTTGTTATTTCAAAATTGAATTTTCTCTGATTTTAGCCGTTATATTTTGGTTGAGATGTTGTTTAGATTCATTGACATTGTGATCCGAGTAATGTTATTTGCTAATAGGCTTACTTGTTATCATTCGAATCATGTTACAGCCTTTGAGGTTTGGATTCTTGGCTTCTGGGAGCTTTAGGATTTTACTTGAGTGCGGCTGCTAGGAGCTGTTTAGTGGTTACAGGTCGGTCCTTGCATTTCATCTTTTTAACTGGCTGTGTTGAGTCTAGCAGATTTTTTGGTGTTTGTTGCTACAAGTTGTAGCAAAACTTGCTCTCATCAGTTCAGTTTTTGCAGTAGTTCCTAGTTTGTCTTTATCATTTACACCAGGTTTACCTCTCTTTTTCTACAGTTCTTAAACTCTCTTTTATTTGTTTTACTTCAAAATTCCATACAAATTTTATTTTTTTTCACATCTCGACCAAGACTCTCTTTTTAGGTTTTTGATGTAACGCTTCTTGTACACTTTGCAAAGTCCTTGCAATTATGTTTTAACATTTTGTTTTTGTTTTTCAGGGTGTTATTTGTAAGATGTTGAAGCAATTAATAGGGAAGGTTTTGAGCAAAAGGGTAGTTTCAGATTCTGGAGATAAGCTTCTTTTCCATTGCTTGTACTTGCCCATGAATTCTTTGCATACTGCACAGGTAATTTGTTTGTTCTTTTAGACTTTATTCAGTTTTTATGGATACCCAATTCTTTTCTCCATAGAAAAAATTGTCAGTTAAAACCAAATTGATGCCCTAACTCTAGAAATTGTGTTCATTGTGTGATATTTCAAGAAACAAAGTACATAGAAACATTGGAAATCTTATTTGCGATATATTTTTGTCAAGTCCTCTATGTGTATGATGCACAAAAGAATTCAATTGGTGAATTTGATTGAAATTTAGTTAGCTAAGAGTTCTTAAGTTCTATTTAAAGGTTGGGTTTTTCCAACTTTCAACACTCATAATCATATGGCAGAATCCAGTTCGATCAAGTTTTGGTTTTGCCCAAATTTTTTGCCTTTTTATGATGCTAGTAATGTTCCATAATTGGTGGAGACATTTAAAACTTATTGTAACATCTACCTTATTGAAAACTTGAAGTGAAACATTCAGCATGGCTTGCTTGGAGGGGTCTGAAATTGGTTAAGAAGAGAAGAGAAATGATGAGCGAGGGAAAGTACATAATCTGTTCAGACATCCCTATTTATTTGATTTGTTGACTGAAAGAAGGTTATGTGAATCTAGTTTGATGATGTCATTGTTCCTTCAAAATATCTACTTCATTCCTTTCTTCCAAATTTATTGCTGAATATACAATTATCAAGCTGTTTCTGATGCTTATAACCTTGTTTCTAATGCTTCGTATATGGAATTCATGTTATTCAATCTATGGTTAAATGTTGCTTCATTAGGTAGGAAAGTTTAGATTCACTTCCAAACTTTTTAGAAATCACAATGACTAATTGACTGAAACTAAATGGTTTGTTTTTGGTAAAGCTAGTAATTTGTCTATTTGTGTTGTGTTTACATGAAAATTGTGTCATAATTCTTGATGACATAGAAAACAAGAAATATATATATATATATATATATATATATTGTTAAACTCATATATGATTTTTGTTAAAATTTAAAACCATGTCATCTTTGTCTTTTGTTTGTATGATTTTCATATCATGACATTATGTCCTGTTTTAGATTGTGAGGTATAATTTTGGGAATGATTACAACATTTACCCTTTTTAAGGTTCATTGTGCACCAAGAAGTTTTTAAGGACGACAACAATAATCTTAACTTTCTCTGCTGCAGAAATGCCAATGCAACAAATGAGGTAGATACTCGGACAGAAACAGTAGAGGAAGAACCCAAAGATGAAACTTCAGAACCTGAACCCGAAAAAGAAAGCAACATCTCCATTACTTCCTCTCCTTCCACCGAATCCCTTGACAAGGACCTCAAAAAGTTTCATTTTTTTATTCAAGTTGGCCTTGTTTTACATGGAGAAATGGTCAATTTTGAGGATGTCCGTATGCTATATTAACAACAGGTGGTTCAGAAGAATGCTGCAACCTTTGCACCAAGGGCTTCCACAGCTACTAAAAACCCTGCTGTGCCTGGAGCTGCCTTGCATATCATTTTTGAGGTTCAAGGCTATGTTATCGCTGTTGCGTGGAGCTTTGTCTTTCAATCTCATATTTCCATCTAATGAACCTGATATTTGGAGATTGATGGGCATGTGGTACATTTGGATGTTCAGTGAGTGAGTCCTAAAGCTTTCACCTAATACTACTAATTTGTTACATGCTCTGGTTAAAGGGTTTCTATGGAAGTTATTGCGTGTTCTACAAACAACATTATTCAGTTACTTATTGCCTATTTATTTACAGCAATTCCATCCCTTCAAGCCAGGGACTGCTCAAAGAATGAAAAAGAAGCTAGCTCTTAATTATCTCTTTCTCATCATCCCCTTCCTAAATGTTATAATCCCTTTCTTTTGAAAGTCTTTTGCAGTTGTTTGGTCTGCAAACACTGTAGCCTTCTTTGCCATGTACTTTTTTGCCCTTCCATTATCTCCCTCTTTATTTACTACAACTCCTACGACTAGTATTACTTTCTGTGAGCATTTTGCTTATTGAATATATATATATATATATATATATATGTATGTATGTATGTATATGTTTCCTACAGCTTGGATGACTATAGAAAACAGAGCAGGAATTAAGTGCACTGGCAGTCAATTGGAACAATGGAGCTATCATTCTTAAATGATTCCTGGCTTCAAACTCATGACGCATGCATGCGAGATATCAAATTTCTTGAATCTGATTATTGCGGCAACTCACAACCAGAATTTAGATTATTTATGATGAACAAGGAAGAATGTGGCTGTTTCATCTGAGCAAGACATGGATGGGTATCTCTTAGAAATGTAATTACAAATTGATATTGATTAATCAATGTTATTGGCATTATGGTTGTTTCTCTTACTTCTTTTGAGGAAATATATGTGTACACTCAAAAGTCCTTTGGGAGAATCTAACAATTGAAATTTCTGAATTTCTTCATACATTTTCTTTGACATGCAAACTGATGAACCAGTGAAATTATTATGGTGTGTTTTTAAGGATTTTCCTGATGACGATAGTAGCAGGCCATACACTTACCAGAAAGAAAAAAAGTCAAAGAATCCATACAAATATGTCATTTAAACAACGCACTATAGCCTGCATGGAGCCATTTACACTTAATGTCTTCATCGCAAAGCACTTTGTTTTTGCTTCTCTTATTCGTAGGGTGATATGCAAGCAGGTTGCTGTGACTGGCACAAACCCTAAAGAAATTAAAGCAGTACTGAGATGAATTACATTAGTGCATTTTCACATTTTTCGTCATTGAATTAAAATTAAAATTTTGACTAATTTGTATCAAAATAATGTTTTTAATTTTAATTATTTTGATTCAATAGTAAAAAACAAAAAAATTTGTACAAGCTGCAAATAGAAATAATTAACTTCGTTAAGTTAAATTCTCATAGTTACTTATCAGTATTTAAAACGAAAATAAGACATTTTTTATAAGATTCGAAGCCAAAGACTCTTTCAAAAAAATTACAAAAATATTCAACTTTAAAACTGATGTCTGTTGTAAATAAAAACCATTGTACTTGAACAATGATCCGCCGTTCCTTGTACTTGGAAACTCTTGGTTTATAGTGTATTCAGGGGACCAAGATCCTTGCTGCAGGTTGTTCTCTTTATGTCAATGCTGATAGAAAATGTCCTATATGAATATCAAAAATAACTACTCCATTGCAATGAGTTCTCAGTCATTGGGCCTTCCTGCAAGTGTTTGACTTGTATATGTTTTCAATTAACGAAATGAATCTAGCAAGCCTTTGCTAAAGTTTGATAAGGACCAGCCTCTTAACTTGACATGAGGCAAATGCTTTGTAAACCTTCAATGGCGATTGAATTCTTTCCCGTTTTTCCATTCAATCAGTAGGATTAATTGGCCTTAACCCTCACCATATGAGAAAACTGGGAGAGGCATTCGTTCTGCCCAATTTCCCTCTACCATCCACCTCCTTGACAATTGAATGCTCTATTTACAATTCACATTGATGATAAAACATGTCAACCACAGATCATGGGGGGAAAAATCAAGTGATAATTAATATATAAGCGCATAAATTGCCTAAGGCCAAAGAAAACGACTAACCTTGTTCACCATGATCAATCAAATCATGATTCCGAACTGTGCCTCTAAGAAAACATAATAGGGCTACAAAAAATTCCCCTAGGCAGCATGGAACTCAACATAAGGGTCGAGTAGAATGGAACAAGTTATAGTCAGCATGGATAAACAGCCCATTCACAAGCTGTTGTAGGCACAGCATACCTTGGGGCACCCAATGGACAAGAACTTGCCATTGGTTCAGTGTAGCAGAAAATCACCTGTAAACAAACACAAACCGTCAGTCAGCCCAAACAAAACCCATCACTTTGAGCCTACAGAATACATATGAATTGAACTTTCTTTCTAGTTTCAACATGAAATTGTTTGTACCTTCCCAAAAAGGGAGAGTGGAAAATCCTTGAAATTCACCATTTAAAAAGTCTCCTCATTCTCTAGTTCAAAATAAGTATGTGATCCTCAACTTCAAAATCCTTGTCATTTTGCCACTTACGGAACATTTCTCCTTATCCTTTGACTTCAGAATTGTTGTCATCCATAACTTCTCAACACCCAGATCATTAAAACAGACAAGTATTACATATGTTATTACTTCCAAGGTTGATCAAATACATGGCAGGCTATATTTAGTCATCATAGAAACATAGAAAGACTAAAAGAAAGAAGCTGCGACCATTTTACAGGTTGATCAAATGCAACATGATTAAACTTGTCCTTAGAGACAGAACAGCTTGGCAGTACTGCCCTTCAGTAATATGACAACTGACAATTAAATGAAATTAATATAATCCAAGGCACCCAACCCAATTGTGAAATGAAAAAAATGACCATTAGTTCATTTAAAGAACCCCAGTATTATAATAAAGGAAATCTTATAACCATTTGATTTCAAATGACGAAGTATCAATAATGATGTCTCAAAATACATACATTGTTTACTTCACTCTGCCAAGGCTCATAAATGCCAGCCATGAAGGAAATAGGAATTGGAACCTTGCACTTCTGCACTTGAGATGATAAAAACACCTTCAAATGAAGAACATACCTTATTCAAGGAAAGAAAAATCATTTGCATTAGATGAGTACTACAAAAGCTATAGTGTCTCAAGATACATAGAAAGAATTTTTGGCTTACTATGTTTCTTGGCAGTTAAAGGATTGAACTGATCTTCTTCAGCATTCTCGACTATGTTGACTGGAATATGAGTCACAATGAACAAATATTAATGAAGGTGAAGAAGAAAATTACTGAAAAATTACTTTTGTTACTCTTTGAATAATCAGTATTATAATGAATGAAAACAAAGCCATTCTGATTTCAAATGAAGAAACAAGAGTCACGGTGTCTCAAATACACATTTTCAACAATTTCCTACTCTGCCATGCATGGCAATCGAAGATCATCATCATAATCCCTCTCCTTATTTATTTTATTATAAATTTAAACATTCTATAACCACAAAAACAGTATTACTAAAATGCAAAAGTTGTTTAAAAATAGAAAAATCAAATTATACAACAAAATTTTGTCATGGTAAAAAAAGGAAAATGTAACATTATCCAATGATCTATTTCAGTTGCTCTAGAAAATCCTAAAAGGAGTAAATTAAATAAAAACTTGTGTAAATAAAAAGGGAAAATTGTTTAAAAATTACATTGACATTATTCTGATATGAGAAATAAGAACTAGGTGGGAGGCATCAATCACCAACATAATTGGTGAAGAAAAGGTAAAGCATTTGAGTTGACAGAAACAAAAGCTATATTATTTACGAATTGTATCTGAAGATTCATAGAATGAAATTTGGCTTACTTGTGTGTTAAAAGTTGAAGGATTGCCTTGATCCTCTACAGAATTCTGCATTTCCTCCACAGGATTCTACATATATATAAAAATCACCAACAACAATTAATGCTAATTGGTCATGAAAGCGAAAAGATGAATTAATTTTGATTTGCAATGGAGTCATAATCAACGCCCCCAACCACAAATTTTCTTTGTCACTAATAATCAAAGAAAATTGAAAAAACATACCCATTCCTTGAACAGTTTTTGTATGGTGCTATTAAGGCTTCCTTCCCAAATCCAGTCCTCCCTTTCATCTGCCCAACTATCTGGTCGTACTTTGTGCAACATTGGAGCGTTTAACCCACCCTGAGCGAACGTCTTTATCTTTGGGCAATCTTCCACAATTACCGTTGCTAAGGATGGGAATCCAAAGGTATGATTCGCTGATGAGCAGAAGCTTTCTAGATTTGATAGCCCAATAAGTTCCAAAAGGTTGAGTTTGGGGAAAATGATTTCATCCTTCACTTCATCACGATCCCCATCGCTACCTTCTATTATTTCTTCTATCTTTCTACAATAAATTATCCTCATTTCTCTGAGCTGCGCTAGGCTTTTGGCTGTTGAATGTGCAACTAATTTTATGATCCCATCACAATATACAACTTCAAGAGTCATCAGATTCTGGAAACATACTGAGGATGGAACTAAATTACTTTTTAATTTGGGACAACATTCCACATGTAAAATCCTTAGATTTTGGAATCCTTCTTTTTCCTTCCATAGATGCATCAATTCATAGAGACTAGAAAGCCGTAATTCAGTTAACCGAGAGAGTACCATCGATGCAGATGCAGGCTTTTCCTCACCACCAACTCCTTCACTTTGGAATACCAACTCTTCAAAGTAACAAAGTTCTATTTGAAGGCTTTCAAGATTGGGTAAGGATAGTAATTGGAACAGGTAAGATGGGAATATGGCTAATTGTTGAGGAAACCGTACAAGTCGGAGAACTTTTAGTTTGCAAAAGTAGTCCGATGCAAGTCGTAGGCCATGCAATCTCTCTTTCATCCCATCATCCCATCCGAGGTGAAGTTGCTGTAGATTTGGGAATGCCAACTGCACAATTCATGCAAGTGTTAATGGGAGGGAGGATGAGTTGTTGAAAGGGATCAAAATGAACGATTGTAATATGGTGGAATAAAAAGAGAAATTTAAAAAAGTATATCTTTAATATAAGTAGTTATCTTTTTTTTTTTTTATTGAATCATGCATACCTATATAGTACTAGCTGATTTGAGTATGTCATTATTATTAACGTATTTTTTTTGTTAAAAAAAATAGGTACAATCGTTTTCTAACTTTTGATATACATCAATTTTTACAAAAATTTAAAATTCAAAGAATCTTTTAATGCATATAACTTTACTGAAAAACTAATAAAGTATACATTTAAAAAAAAAATAAAATCTGATTATTGAAGTTTAAAGATGCCTCTTTAGTTAAATTATAGATCAATCCAAAGTTATACTATAAAATTATATATTCTATCTTGGTAAACAAATTATTGTATTTTATTCTTACAAATATATTAATAGTTTACATACTTTTCTTTTTAATATTTATTATGTTGCCATTAAATGCTTTTTTATTTTATTTTTTTTCAAAACAAGTCAATCTATTTTTTGAAATTTTGATCCAAAGATTATTTAAGATTTAAGATTGAGGGAGTTAAATACACTCTTATTTTTCACTTTATACCTTATTTTTTAAAATTTCCTTAAGTAAAATTATTTAATTATAATTTTTTTATAAATTTTTTAAAATAAATGTTTGGAAAATTGTATAACTTGTTGGATATAAATATCAGAAAACTTATGACAAAGAGTAATTAAGTAATTTTATTTTAAAAAAGATTTGAAAAAAAAATAGCATAAGAAAAGGATGCATTTAATATCACTCTTTAGGGTTCAGAGGCTGGGAATCTCATTAGCAATTAGCAATATAAATAGTTTACCCTCTATTAGATTATTGAAATCAAAATAAATTCTTAAACTCGAATGATGTAATTAATAATTAGGTGCTATTTCTATTAAACATATAGTTTTACCTATCAATTTGTAAATGAGTTTAATTATTTGAAACAAATTTTAAGTTTATATTGGAGCCATGGAGGGAGACATTAAAAAAATACCTTTTCACTGAATAGGTATTTTGAGACATCCGAGTGGAGGTTCTCCATTGAGATGCTGCTCTCTCCTACTTCATTTCCAACAGTTGTTCCCACACTTGTAGAATCAGAATGGACTGTGTTCAGAAGAGGACATTTTTCTATGTGCAGATATGTTAGAGAAGGGAATTCAATCAGATTTTCAAAGCCAAATCTTTTGAGCTTAGGAAGGTCCTCGAGCGTCAAGCGGTCTAATTTTGGAAACACCATTTTCTTCATCCTTTCTTCTTCTTCTACTAATCCTTCCGTCACTATTATTATCTCTTCAATTTCATTACACTCTTCAACAGAAAGTGTTTTTAGTTGCACAAAAGCTTTCAACCATAGAGGAAGTAAATATATTCTTCAAATTATGGCACTTGTACACCGTCAACTTTGTTAAATTTTGAACACCAAAAGAAGTTACTGAAAGTTGCTCATGCCATAGTTTTTTCGCTGGGATTGAGTATAGACACAACTGCTCTAAGCCTGGGAACACAACCTGCAAATAAAAGTAAAGTTTGACGATCAACAGTTCCTTATTATTCAAATATTAAAAAAGAATTAATAATGATTTCCAACATTGATATGACACAAAGAAATAATATATTATTGTCATTGACTATATATTTCTACAACTCCGTCATCTTTAATTATACTAGCAATATACCCACACTTTCTTGTAGATCTAAAATTTTTTTTATTTATAGTTAAATAAATTTAATAAATCAATGAATATAATTTTTTATAATTTCTTAATAAAAACAATGATTTATAATAATTTATTAATTAATTTGGGGATAATATCTTTATTTTATTTACAGAACTTGTTAACAAATCAAATATAAATTCATATTTTCAAATATAGTTAAAAATATTAAAATAGATAATTTAAAAACTTAAAAAAAATCTAAAACTTAAAAAAGGAAAAGTGTCAAGCAAAAAGGGAAAAAAAAAAAAAGAAAAATGACCCAAATGAATTTACCAAGTCGACACTCCCACTTAAAGAGGACAATGGACGAGTAGAAGCATGTTATGGTTATCCTAACTCCAACTTAATCTCGGATTATTATTTTTTATACCTAATCTAACCTAACATATAAATATAGTATTTTATTAAATATATGGAATATGCATGGACACTATCTTTTAATGATAGAAAAGAGGTTGAGTCAAGGTGCGTTTATACACACCTTGACTCTTAACTCAAATTTTTAATAATTCAATTATACTTTGATTTCAATCCGACATTGAGTTATCATTAATTGATATCTTATCTTAACCTATCACATATATGTATAACCCGCATCCATTCCAAATTAATCAAAATTAATTCAAAAAATTTAACTTAGTATACTGTTTATAAATTATATCTTAATTATGTATAAATATAATAGTTTATTAAAATAAAATATTAACTAATAATTTTATTAATATAAATATATAAATATAAAATTAATTAAATAATAAAATATATATTTTTAATATATGCCAAAAATGAGATGGAATATCCCAAATCCGTTTCCTACCACTTATCCGATTTAAAAAAAATTCCAACCTAATTTCAATTTTAAAATATAATGTACCTATTGGATTGAGAGAAATCAAAATCCATTGAATTTGTTTTGTCATCCTTACATCAATTGTCTTTTTTTTGTATGAAATTTTTTTATTAAAAAATTTTTTTAAAAAAAGTAATTGGCAAAAAAAGAAAAAAAAGCCAAATAAAAGTGTTGTAAATTTATTAAATTAAGATATTAAATAATAATTTTACTAATATAATAAATATATAAATGTAACATTAAATTAATAATAAAAATATAATTTTATATATATCTTAGACAAGATAAAACATTTTAAAATAATCTTTGAACAAATCTTAAGTTAAAAAAAAAATTTCAATCTATTCTCAAAATTTTTAAAACATCACATCTATATTGAATCGAAGTGAATTGAAATCCATTAGATACAAATTGTTTCATAAATTTTACATTTATTATTTTTCTTACAAAATTTATCTAATAAAAATTAAAACCAAATAAAAAAATAAAAAAATACATTTTAAAGGAAGGTTAGGTGGCACATAGACCCCCCATCTTCCTCCAAAATCTAAAATATTTATAAAATTGATTGTTGAAAGCCTTTTGGTTGAAATAATTAACTTCGTACAATGATTATAATCTTCCATGAAATAATTAGAAAAAAATCAAATATTGGCTTGAAGTTGCAATAAATAAAGTCAATCATTAAATTTTATGTATTAGTTATTAACTCCTAACCAAAAAAAAAGTACAATTTTAGATCTATAATCATATATAATATCAATAATTTCATTATATCACTCAAGTCATGACTTGTAAAAATAAGAGTTTTAAAGTTTTATTATTAGAGGTGTTCATCGATTAAACCTATCAAGTTCTGTTTTTAAAGCTAATAAAAGGCCGACAACTCACTCATTTATTTTATTGACAAAAAACTCACTCATTTAACTAATATTTTTTTATTAAAATAATAAACTTTTCTATTATTATTAATATTTTAAACATATAAAAACAAAATTTAACAAAAATATAATATTTATTAATAAAATAATTTAATCAGCCCTATTCAAGCTGAAGCTTAAAAAATCATATGCAGCCTGACCCTTTATATCTTCAGTTTCGACGATCCCCTCTATAATTCAAATAATTAAGACTTTCAATTTTAAAGTTTTAAGTCTACAATGATAGAATATCTCTTTGGATGACTATAAAATGTTATAATGTTTGTGAGAAAAAAATCTATATGTGAAAAGGAGAATTATAAGACTTGAAGAAAATAACATAAAAGATGGAAAAAAAATCACCTTCAGATATACATTCTGGTCTTACAATATATTAACATATATACTTCATCACTTTGTTTTCAGGTTAAGTTAATAGGAAAATTACAATCTAAAACACTATTGATAATAAATTTAAATTCCACACCATCGAATTTAGATGATTGCTAAATAACTCAATAGGATATAATTTTAAAAAATTAATATAATAAAAAACATATGATAATATTTTAACTACACTTACAAAATTTAAAAACTCTACCAACAATGTATGAAACAAAAATTTTATGTTCAAACAATGGAGAAAAGCATTAAGAAAATACCTTTTCATCGAATAGATATTTTGGTACATCAGTGCAGTGTTTCACCATTGAGATGCTATTCTTTCCTGCTTCATTTCCAACAATTGTACCCACACTTGTAGAATCAGAATGAAATGTGTTCAAAACTGGACATCCAAGAATCCATAGTTCCTTTAAAGAGAGGAATTCAATTGGATTTCCACAACAAAATCTTTTGAGATTGGGAAGATTGAAGAGGTGCAAATTGTCTAGTTTAGGAAACACCATTTTCCTCATCCTTTCTTCTTCCAGTAATCCTTCTGTCACTGTTATTACCTCTTCAATTTCATTACAATTCCTAATATAAAGTGATTTCAGTTGCACGAAGCTTTCAACCATAGAAGAAGTAAATAGATTCTTCAAATTATGACATTTCTCAACAGTCAATTCCGTTAAATTTCCAACACCAAAAGCCGTTACTGAAAGCTGATCATGCCATAATTTTTCAACTATGATTGAATCTAACCGCAACTCCTTTAAGCATGGGAACACGACCTGCAAATAAAGAAAAATATTTGATAATCAACAATTTTTATTATTCAAATATTAAAAAAAATTAATAATGATTTCTAATATTGACTACAATTTTCAAGGAAATTATTAAACAAAAATTAAATATTTACTTGAATTTGCAACTACATAAAGTCAATTAAGTCATTAAATTTTGAGTATGAATTATTGACTCCTAACCCCAAAAATAAAGCACAATTGACGATCTATATATATAATATCAATTCTTAAGTTCATTATATAACACGCATGTCATGAAAGTGAATTGGAGTTTTAAGTTTCAGAGGCGCATTTGGATTGGCCTATCAAGTCTCCCTTCCAAGGCTGACTCAACTCACTCATTTAATTATTATTTTATTAAAATAACAAAATTTTATTATTAATATTTTAATATTGCAAACATATTCAAAATTAAAATGTAACAAAAATATAATATTTATTAATAAAATAATTTAATCCTTCTGGATGAGATTTGAGTTAAAAAAACCTTTTTTTATGTTTTATTGAATACTTATTTTAAATATATTAATAGAATATTTTATGATATATTTTATTTTCATTAATTTTGATTTAAAAATCACTAAAATTGAAAGGACAGTAATAATGACAAAATTGAAGACTCACCTACAATAATAAATTTGCTCTTTATCCAAATTATAACATTCACATATTAAATAGAAAATCTAGTTTAAGAAAAAGGAACAAAAACGATATCAAAAGGAAATATGTTGGAAGTGAGAATTTAACGAAAAGAAGAAATATATTGACATAAATACCTTTCGGTCAAAAAGTGCTGTGGCAGTTGAACTTCCATCAATTGATTGAACTCTTCCTTGTTGAGACGAGGAAAGCTTTTTTTCTGAGTTAAACAAGCCAATGAAACTTGGTAGATCTTCTAACCTTAAAGAGCGTAATTGGCTGAATTCTAAAATGTCATCATCACCAATCTCTTCCTCCCTCTTTTCTACAATTAACTCCGTGAAATTCTTGCAATCAGATACACGAATTTTTTGAAGGTGGCCGAGCTTTCTGGCTAAGGTGAATGAGAACAAATTCTTCAACATATTACAATCTTCAACATTTATCTTTCTTAGTTGACCAAAACATTCAGCTTGGAGTTGACCATAATATATGGCCTCCAAATTGTTCAGTTTACGAAGAAACAATGTCTCCAAAAGAGGAAATGCTTTACAAGAAGCCAACTCCTTGATTAGATATTTAACCTCTGAATCATTGCAGACATCAAGATGTTTTAAATGTGGGAAACCTTGGGTATCTGGATCATAAAGCATGTCTATGACATCTTTCCCTGCATCCAGATGGAGAGTTTCGGTTTTTCTCAACAACGTTTTAACCCCACTATCGTCCAAATAAATACTCTTATTCAACTTGAGTTTCAACTCTCTCGAGGTTTTTGACTTATAAGACTGCCGCCACTTCTCTCCAATGGAAATTTTGTATCTTTCAAACTTTTCAGAAAACAATTCCTTTGGCACACCTTGCAGATCAGGAATATGTACTTCCAAAGTTGTCAAACGACACAAATGTTGCAACTCAACAAGGCTAGCATTGGTTCTTGGCTTCTCATGTCCCTCAACCTCCCATCTATCAAAGCTATGAAGTAGGTATAATTCTTCTAATCTGGATAAACGAGACAAGACATTTGGTGATATTACTTTAAGACTGGAACAATGACTCAAATCTAGCAATTTTAGCTTGATCAATTGTCCTATTTGGGGTGGTAGCACTGCAATTTTAGATTTTCGGAAGCTAAGGATTTCTAAATTCTTTAACTCTTCAATGATGACTATATCTTTTAAAATGCAGTCAGAAAAACATAAAGTACGGAGATTTTTTAGGAAACAAAATGACGAAGGCAAGGATGGAAAATCAAGTTTGGCAAAATCTAAGACTCTGAGTTTTTGCATTCCCCTAAAGAAGTTGTCTGAAATTTTCAAAGAGGAATCCTCACTACCCAAAGAGACAAAGGTAAGATTTGGACATTCCAACCGATCATGATCAGAAGGTTCACAAACCTTAGCATACTGCAAGCTGATCAGTTCGCAATTTCTCATTTTTTCCTCATTTGACAACTCTTTGAATACATCATCATCATCCCTTCCTAGAGCAAGCCAATGGTGGTCTCTCGAAGCGATCGATAAGGCAACATCACAAACAACGTCATGCATATCAAAGCGCTCAAAGGTAGAACCATCAAGTAACAAAGAAGAGCTTTTCAGGTTGTTAACCAATGCGGATACTTTATATCGTGCTTCTTTGATTGTATTAACTGCATGAAATAAACCCAAACCCATGCCATATCTCAACAAGCGGTCGATGGCAGCATCATGGCCCATTATGCTACAGAGTAGGAAAGTAGGTCGATGTTCCTCATCTTCTAAAAACTTGTAACTCAACTCTATAGCTGAATATGCACCTGCTGGTATCCCCTTGAAGTTTCTTTTAGAGGGATTTCTTAGTTCATTCAAGGCATACTTCCAATCAGACAGATTCTTCTTATTTTTCATAGCTTCCCCAACTGTTACAATGGCAATCGGCAATCCAGCACATTCATTGGCCACTTCAATTGCCGTAGTTTCCAAGTCAGGGCTTAGAACAATATCACCTGCCTTCTTCTTAAACAGGTTCCATGCTTCTTCTTCTTTCAATATTTCAATTGGAATGTTTTTCAGCGAACCCATCAAAGATAAAGCATCAACCTTTCTAGACGTCAGTAAGATCTTGCATCCTTGGTGTTCACCTCCGTAAGGAACTCCCAGAGCCTCCATATCCAATTTCTCCCAAATATCATCCAAAATAACAAGAACCTTGCTTTTCTTTAGTCTGTTACGCAGTTCGCCTGCTCTCCCGGGCTCACTCTGCATTTCAAACTTCAGACCCAATTCATCTGCAATCAGTTCTTGAATTTTCTTGATGTCAAAACTCTGGGTTACGGCTGCCATGACCACCTTATCAAACAAATCATCCTTGGCTTGTCTAGCAACTTGTTTAACTAGTGTGGTTTTACCCACACCCCCCATCCCGTAAACACCAATTATGCTCAAATTAGCATCTTTAAGCGCCTCCATGACCGCATCGAAAGCACCCGTTCTTGACTCAAAGTCCTCGTACTCTCTGACAGGTCTACTAGCTATCCCTTCTGGAGCAGGTCTGTATGAAACTCCACCAAATCGGTCTTTATCTTTCAAGAGTTCAGCAATGGTGTTGGCCTCTTTCTCAGCTTTTCTACTGAGTTGGTAACGAGACTTAAAATTAGGACACAACCCAACGAAACACATCTGCTTTGCTTTCTCTTCATCTTCATCCAATTGCCCAGCAGCCTCGTCACAGATCCCTCTGACCTTAGTCAACCACTCATCCACATAGCTAAATATCTCCTTTCCCTGTCTCGTAGCCGCATTAACATCCTCTTGCACACTTTCTCTTGCAATCTTCAGTTTTTTAAGTTGATCCCTGAGGTTTTGAAACTTGCTCTTATGCTTGAACAAGTAACTAACTTGTCGTGCAATGGGATCAACTGTGTATTCCACCGCTTTCCCAGCAAGAGAGCCAAGAATGGATCCAACAATGGAAATACAAGCCTCCATATTTTTTTTTCTGTTTTTTTTTTTTAATCGGAAGAACGCTCCCTGACAAAACCTAAAACAATATGAACAGTAATATTCAAAACCCAAAATAAAAAAATAATATAAATCAAATAATCAGAGATGAAAACAGTGGAAATGGGTTTAAACAAACATACCTCTGTCGTTCTCTTAGATATCAAAAGATTGTTCGGCTACAGCTTCTTCCTATCCTCACTTTGAGTAGTGAAGCCAAAAGAACAGAGAACCTACAGACAAATTTTAAGGAATTCTTTTTTCTTTTTTTGGTGAATAAAGCTTGAGGATTCAGCAGTTGAAAGAGTTTAGGAGATGGCAGTTTGAGAGAACAGAGAATCAAAACTCAGAATTGCGTGTTTTCTATAAAAGAGTATGAACAGCCAAGAGTCGTAAACAAATGGGAACATGTTGACAAACTAAAGGACGACTAAAGCACGGCCAGCTGGTCTCCATTCTGCGGTCCCTGGGTCCTGATTGTGCGCCTCTGGGCTGTGGCACATGATTTCTGTCGGTAAAGTATTATTTTTGAGTAAATTACACCAAAATCCTTGTTGTTAAGCACTAATATACAGTTGTCATTTTTTTTTTTACCTAATGATGAAAAAGCTATTAGGAAAACATAAAATCTTGATTTGATTTTCTTCATTTTCATAAATTATGCTCGTCTTATATACCAAAAATGAAATACTATCATCTTCAAAAGTTTTAGCCAAGACATGATAAATACATCATTACAAATAACATCAAATTTTTATTATAATCGAAGTTAAAAAACTTTTATTTACATTCAAAAATACTCCTTGAATCCAATTTTTTTATTATACAAATAATCAATAGGTGTTAAGTTCCATCAAATTATTTTTTACTTCTTCGGTTTATCATTTTTAAATCCAACGAATTTACTAATTCATAAATTTATAAATTTATAAAAATTTATGAATTTAAATAATTGTAAGTTTTTTTAATTTATAAAAAACATTTTTATCATTTATGATTTCATAAAAAAATTTAATAAATCAAATTTTAATTTTAATCAAAATTTAACAAAAAATAAATCTTAAATTTAGTTGAAACTTATAATTTTAAAATTTAAATTTAAAATTTTGAATTTACAAGTCCACGAGCTTTTTAAAAATTTATCTTTAACCTCTTCAAATTTAACCAAAAATACCCTTTTTTTTTAATAGGATGACAAGTAATATAACTAAACCAATTTCAGCTTCTTAATTTAGTGATAAAAAAATCTTCAAAAAAATACGAAATTGAGGTTTGGCTCTATGCTTTCTTTCTTCTTTATTATTGTAAAGCTCTCTCCCCTTAAAATCAAACAACATAAATGATAACTCATTAAAGTTATAAAAAATATCAAATTAGTATTTTTATTAATATCAAACTAAGTATAAATTATATCTGTTATGTTTACTTGAAAACTTCTTATAATTTATAATAAGATTTAAAATAAACTATATATTTTTAATTATTATGATATATTTACATATTAATATTTCATTTAAAAAAAATTATATAATCTCTTATATTATGTATTATCAATTATCAGGTGATTTAAAATAAAATATACAAAACAAGCTATTGATTTGTGTATATATATGTTACATATATGTTGTAATTATATTATTAAATTTTAATCATGAAATTTAAAATAAATTATGTGATTTCCTTTTTCCTTTTTTTTTTTTTGAATGGTAAGAAATTGATGATATGAAGCAAAACAAACAATAAAAGGGAAGAAGGCTCACTGACAAAACCCAAAACAACAAAAACAGCAATATTTAAAAACTAAATATATATAAATCAAATAATCAGAGATGAAAGCAGTGGAATGGGTTTAAACAAACATACCTGTGTCCTTGTCTTAGATATCAAAAGATAGATCGGCTACAGCTTCTTCCTATCCTTACTTTGAGTACTAATATCAAAAGAGCCGAAAACCTACAGGAAAATTTTGAGGAATTATTTTTTCTTTTTTTTGGTGAATAAAGCATGAGGATTCAGCAGTAGAAAGAGTTGAGAGAACGGAGAATGAAAACTGAGAATTGCGTGTTTTCTGCAAAAGAGCATAAAAGGCGGAGACTAGTCAAGAAATGGGACATGATGACAAACTAAACAACAATTAAAAGCACAGCTAGGTCGTCTACATTGTGCTATCCCTAGGTCATGATCGTGCGCATGTGGCTGTGACCATGCCTTTCTGTCGGAAAGTATTATTATTGAGTAAACTATACCAAAGTCTATGTTGTTAAGCACTAATTTAACATCACGCCATCCGTATGATAAATATACGGTTCTCAATTTCCTTGGTGTAATAATTAAAAAAATTTCAGCAGGACATAAAAAATCTTGATTTTAAATTAATTTTTTTATGACGTATGTTCATTTTATATATAAATATATTTATCATTCTCCAAAGGTTTTACAATCACATCAAATTTCTGTTAGAATTAAAGTTGGAAGTTTCGTTTACATTCAAAATTTCTTGATGCATTTAATGTTTTTATTATAAAAATATCCAAATTAACTCTTTTAGCAAATTACTTTTCACTTCTTCCTTGCATAATCCTACAGATTTATAAAGTCATAACTTTATAAAAAAATTTATGAATATGAGTGTTTGTAAATTCTTTAAATGGGTGAAAAAAATATTTTTTTATTATAAAAATATTCAATGTGAAAGTAATGATTTCACAACAAATTGCTTAACACCTCAAAGGTCACCAAGAGATTTGGGCAGAAAAGGCAGTCAAGTAAATGCAAGTCAACATAACATCCAGGAAAATGGCAAGAAGCGTTTAGTTTCCAACAAACATCAAAATCATCGTAGGTTTGGCAATACTCTAGGAAGTCCTTCCTTGAGCTCGCATGTTGGTAACATGCATTTACATGAGAGGAATCGTAGTACAATTGATGTCACTAAAAGCTCTAGTGTCTCTGCACCTGTCTTTGGCTCACAAAAAATAAAAATCAGAGAGCTAGGATTTTAAGAGGGAAAAGACTGAGGACAAGTTTGACGTTGATCAGATCTGGGCATTATATGGTAGGGATGGCATGCCTAAGGACTGTGCTCAATTCAAAAAGATTGAATCCACCCCTCATTTCAAATTGCGTGTGGCACTGCTGGAAATGTGCTCAAGGCCTAAAGACTTGAAACTACCCTTTGTTGTAGGATATTTAAAGTTAAAAGTGGCCAAACCAAGGTTAACGTTGTCTCTCATCAATTAAGAGCCGAGCCCATTGGGAAGAACAAATACAAAATTTACCCTAAAAAGGGGAGGTTTGGGCAATATACAAGAGTTAGAACTCCGCAGATTCAGACTTGGGTACGGGTGAATGTGACATTGTAGAAGTGTAGGAAGATAATGCCAAGAACAAAAAAGTTATGGCTCTGTCATGTGTAAATGGCTCTAAATCACATTATAGGGCTTCAAGAAGTCTAAGTGCCGAAGATTGAGTTTGCTACTTTTTCTCGTCAGATTCCAGCTTTACAGCACACAAGAGAAAAGGATTGCTACTGGAGAGGCTATTGGGAGCTTGATCCCTTGACTATTCCTAGTGTTCTTATTTGTATAGAGTGATATGCTATATTGTGTTGTATCATTAATTCCCTCACCTCAGTCTTACCAGGAGCTTTTGTGAGTATGCTTCAAGGGAGAAAATGGAAAGAACTTAGAAAAAACCTGACGAAATTATTTTTGCCTCCTGTGTTGGAAATCATGCACGGCCTTAACCGTTAACCATTTTGTTTTTGCCAAAATGTACTCTTTTGGAATGTAATTTTATGATTTAAAAAAAAAATGAAGTTATTCATAGCTCTTTATTTTTATTATTCCCTAAACCTTTTTTTTTTTGGTCTGGAAAAGGAGTATTATTCCCTAAACATTTCAATTTATTAAGAATTGCTTTATTTTGAAACTCAAACAATTAAACCTTATGGTTTTAAATTGGCCGCTTGTCCTATAAATTTGAAGTATAGATTAGCCCTTCAAATTGTTAATGTGGCAATAAATTGAGGTGGGGATAACTTTATACTTGTTTTTCTAATCATATTCTCTATTACTAAGTCTTAACTCGAGATCTATCGCACCTTAAGCGAGAACCGTACCGCTAGACCAAGTGCCCTTAGTTGAGGTCAATTTACTTCTTCTTTTTGTCACTAAAAAAAAAAATTACATGCTCTTATTATTTTTCAATTTAAAGAAAATATCCTTAAATGGCAGCAAAATTACAGCAAAACTTGTTCCCTTCAGTTCAGTTTTTGCAGTTCTCAATTTGTCTTGTCTTTGTCATTTAAACCAGGTCCCTTTTATTTGTTTTACTTCAAAATTCCATACAAATTTTCATTTTTTTCACATCTCGATCAAGACTCTCTTCTTAGATTTTTTACACCCTATTTTTAACAACGCGCTTTAACTGTTCGATGTAATGCTTCCTTATATACTCTGCAAAGTACTTGCAATTATGTTTTGACATTTTGTTTTTGTTTTCCAGGATGTTCTTTGCAAGATGATGAAGCAAGTAATAGAGAAGGTTTTGAGCAAAAGGATAGTTTTTGCTTGCTCTATTTCGTGAACAATGACTTCCGAAAATTATTTCTGAAAAATATTTACATTTTGTTAATTTATTTATTTATTTTGTTATTTAGAGGAATTAATGAAAAATCTTTTCCAGTATTTGATTTTTTTAAAAATCTTATATAACTATTAAAATATTAAAAATTATTTATTATTAAAGTATATTAAAATTATTAATATTCAAAAATAATTATATTTTGATAATAATATTTAATATTAGAATATTATATTAATATAAAAATACTTAAAATAAAACTATTAATTATTTTTTATTACTTATTATTATATTATAATTTTATTTATTAATATATTATATTAATAGTATATTATTTATTAATATATTGTTATAATATTTATTAACTAATATAATAATATTAATTAATATAATGTTCTAATATTTAATATTATATAATAAAATTAATTAATATATTATTTATTAATATAATATTATTTATGAATAAAATTATACTAAAAAATATTGATAAATAATTTGACTTGGATAATTTTTTTCAAAAAATCTTTCTTTTTAAAATTTGTAAAATAATTTTTTAAAAATGACTTTATTTTTTATTTTTTAATAATTAATAAATTATTTTTCATTAATTAATAAATTATTTTTTGTTAATCAATTAATTTTTATCAAATAAAAAATTAAAAATGTAAAATTAATTTTTTTAATTTTTTGCAAAACAACGAAGCATCAAATTCTGCAAATAAGCTTTTTTTTGCCTTGCTTGTACTTGCCCACGATTTCTCTTCGCGTTGGACAGGTAACTCGTTTTTTCTTATGAATTTTATTCAGTTTTTATGGATACCCAATTCATTTATCGATCGAAAAATTTGTCAATTAAACCCAAAGCCCATTATCCACTGATGTTCCAGACTCCCGATATTGTGTTCATTGTTTTATATTTCTTGAAACATGGGAAATCTTATTTGCAGCGTGTTTTTGGCAAGTCCTCTATTTGTATGATACTTACAAGAATTCAATTGGTGAATTTTAACTGAAATTTAATTAGCTGAGAGTTCTTAAGTTTTTTTTAAATCGGAAACATTTCAGTTACAATTATTTAATTGCAATTAATCAATTATAATTCATATTTGTGTAAAATTCATTAAAAAATTATATAAAACTCATATTTTTTAAGTGAAAAATTTATAAGTAAAATTCTCTCTTTAAAAACTGAGATTTACAACTTTCAACACCCATAATCATATATAAATATATCTTTAGAATTAACTTGTAAGCTAATCACTTGCATACAGCAAAATCCAGTTCAGTCATGTTTTGGTTTTGACCAAATTTCTTGACTATTTATTAGACTCCGAAATTTTCGTATCCATGTCTATTTATTCATGTCTTAATAGATGTAAAATATAAATATTATCACTAACACATTAAACACAAAATATTTTTTTATTTTTATTGAAATTATATATAATTTTTACTAAGATTTTAAACTATCGCTTTTATTTTTTTATCATATTAATTTAAAATTATATTATATTTAAAATTGTATTATATTGCTTTGCTTTGGTATTGACAAATAGGAATTGTCAGTATATGGTTCTTAATTTTGATTGTTAGAAATGCATGACTAAGAAGATTCCATATGGAATATGTTACTCTAATACGTGACTCTACGGTGGGTGTTTGGGGACACGCTATGTTTTTGTGTCTGCGTTTTGACAAATCAAGTTCCATGGCATGAACAGCCTCTTGCACTCTTTCTCTTGAATCCTCCAGTTTTTGACGTTGATCCCTGAGGTTTTGAAACTTGCTCGTTTACTTGAACAAGTAACTAACATGTTATGCAGTGGGATCAACTGTGTACTCCGCCGCTTTGCCAACAACAGAGCCAAGAATGGATACAACAGTAGAAATAACAGTCTCCATTTTTTTTTTTTGAATTGGTAGGAAATTGATGTTATGAAGCAGAACAAACAATAAAACAAGAGCGAAGAAAGCTCACTGACAAAACCCAAAACAATAGAAACGGCAATATTCAAAACCCAAAAAAACAAAATTTATTTTAATCAAATAATCAGAGATGAAAACAGTGGAAATGGTTTTAAACAAACATACCTCTGTTCTTGTCTTAGATATCAAAGGATTGGTCGGCTACAGCTTCCTCCTATCCTCACTTTGAGAACTGAAGCCAAAAGAGCAGAGAACCTACAGGAAATTTTTTGAGGAATTTTTTTTTCTTTTTGGTGAATAAAGCTTGAGGATTCAGCAGTAGAAAGAGTTTAAGAGACGGTTGTTTGAGCGAACAGAGACTCAAAGCGTGTTTTCTGCAGAATAGCACGAAAAGGTAAGACCAGTAAAAAAAGAGGAACATGATTAATTATAATATATTCTTGAGTAAATTACACTCTTTCTCTTGAATCCTCCAGTTTTTGACGTTGATCCCTGAGGTTTTGAAACTTGCTCCTTTACTTGAACAAGTAACTAACATGTTATGCAATTCAAAAATCCCACTAGCAGGATGGAGGTTTAGAGGGCTTTTCCATTCCCA